TATGCCATGGTCAGACGTATCAAAAACGGATGATCAAGGCTTTCAACAAGAAAGTTAGGCGTCAAGTGTATCAAGTCGGAGATCTAGTAGTCAAACGGATTATCTTACCGCAAAGTGATCCCAGGGGCAAATGGACTCCTACATATGAAGGACCATTTGTGATCAAGAGTATATTTTCTGGTGGTGCAATGATTCTGACCACCATGGACGGTGACGATTTGCCACACCCTGCGAACGCAGACATAGTCAAAAGATACTACGCATAAAGTAACCCGACAAGTCGAAAACCCGAAAGGGCGGCTTGGGCAAAAATGGGCATCCCGGTGAACCGAAAACCCGAAAGGGCGGTTCAGGCAAAAGTTAGGGATAAAAACAAAAAAATCTGTACACCCGGCAAGTCGAAAACCCGAAAGGGCGGCTTGGGCAAAAAGGGGTTTCCCGGTGGATCGAAAACCCGAAAGGGCGATTCAGGCAAAAGTTAGGGAATTAAAGCGTATGACTATGTCTCGTCGGATCACTTCAAAGACAGTCTCTTCATCAACCGGTTCCAGGTTTGATCAATCCAGCCATCGTCAAACGAAGCATTGAATGGACAGAGGTTCAGAGTTGTGAAAGCTACAGCAGAACGGAATCCCATGGAATTATTTCACATAGCCATCTTTATTTTGTATAAATTTTTCAAATATTTACGGCAAGATCCTCTTACTAGGATGATTGTTTCCTTTGTACAAATATACTCAAAGAAAATCAATACAAATACTCTTCCCAAAATTTGTGTCATTTCCCTTTTTCTTTTTCTTTCACTATTCGCTTTATTTTGAGAAACGTCCAATGTCTTGTTAAATAGGCATATGCATTTGAAACATGATCAATTCCTAATTAAAACCTAAGAAAAGGATTACTGATAGGATGAAAGTACAGATGGATATTTTGACACCTTTTCAAAGGAAATCCCTCAAGACCTGTAATCCACATCCCTGGCAAACCCTGAGGTCTCTCTCCAGCAGACCCTCGAAGCTTGTCCCCAGTAAGGTTCTGAAAGGTATTCCCCGCAGAGTACGGACGCCCCTCCCGGGTTTTATTCAAAGTTATTCCTCACAGAGGCTTATAACTGGGTTATCCTCAGCTAACAACCAGGTGAGATCGCGCTCGCCAAAATTCTTCCCATCCCCGGCGGAGTTCATCAAAATTCCCCGGAGGAGGTTATCTTTGCAAAATCCCCAGCCAGAGAATCTTCCAGAAATCATTTTCCCTCAGAGTTTAATCTTCAGTACCTCCAGCAGATCAAAAGCTTCAAATGGACAATCCCCAGCAGAATCAGACTTTTAAACCTTCTCCCCACAGAGTTTTTAGGAAGAAAAATCTTGAGCTCCCCAGTGAAATTTCCAGAGGTACTTCTCTCCTGGCTGAAGATTCTCAATCTAGTCTCCCCAGCATTAAGTCTACTAGTTTGGTACTCCCCAGTAGAAGACTCCGGGAATTCCCCAGAAGATTGGTATACAACCCAAGCTCCAAGTTCCCCGGCAACAACCCAAGCTCCAAGTTCCCCGGCAACAACCCAGGACTTATTTTCCCCGGCAGCAATCAGGATACTTCTATCTTCCGCTGTCCTGGATTCATTTATCCTATGCAAGACAGCTCTCCAGCTTACATGCACATCCATTTACATCCATAACACAAAATATACATTATATCATGCATCATAGCATTGCATACGACTAACTCTTTGCCTTTTTAGGTAAGATCAGTCGACAGACTAAAATCATTCAAATCTTCAAGACTTCTGAAAACAGTTCACGGGTTCTCCAAGTAAACGGATGTTAACCTATCGCTTGTTCAGATTCTTCTCAAGACTTCTGAAAACAGTTCACGGGTTCTCCAAGTAAACGGATGTTAACCTATCGCTTGTTCAGATTCTTCTCAAGACTTCTGAAAACAGTTTATGGATTCTTCCCAAGTAAACGGATGTTAACCTATCGCTTGTTCAGATTCTTCTCAAGACTTCTGAAAACAGTTTATGGATTCTTCCCAAGTAACGGATGTTAATCTATCAGCTTGTTCAGATGCGACCTTTGAAATTAGTTTCCGGATGCTTCCCAACAACGGATGCGACTCTATTGCTAATTCAACTTCAAGACTTCTGAAAACAGTTTATGGATTCTTCCCAAGTAAACGGATGTTAACCTATCGCTTGTTCAGATTCTTCTCAAGACTTCTGAAAACAGTTTATGGATTCTTCCCAAGTAACGGATGTTAATCTATCAGCTTGTTCAGATGCGACCTTTGAAATTAGTTTCCGGATGCTTCCCAACAACGGATGCGACTCTATTGCTAATTCAACTTCAAGACTTCTGAAAACAGTTCACGGGTTCTCCAAGTAAACGGATGTTAACCTATCGCTTGTTCAGATTCTTCTCAAGACTTCTGAAAACAGTTCACGGGTTCTCCAAGTAAACGGATGTTAACCTATCGCTTGTTCAGATTCTTCTCAAGACTTCTGAAAACAGTTTATGGATTCTTCCCAAGTAAACGGATGTTAACCTATCGCTTGTTCAGATTCTTCTCAAGACTTCTGAAAACAGTTTATGGATTCTTCCCAAGTAACGGATGTTAATCTATCAGCTTGTTCAGATGCGACCTTTGAAATTAGTTTCCGGATGCTTCCCAACAACGGATGCGACTCTATTGCTAATTCAACTTCAAGACTTCTGAAAACAGTTCACGGGTTCTCCAAGTAAACGGATGTTAACCTATCGCTTGTTCAGATTCTTCTCAAGACTTCTGAAAACAGTTTATGGATTCTTCCCAAGTAACGGATGTTAATCTATCAATTTGTTCAGATGCAACTTTCTGAAAACAGCTTACAGGTTCCTCCCAACAACGGATGTCAACCTATTGCTTGTTCGGACCCCCCCCAATTCAGAAATGGTCCAAAGCTTGGACAATTTCCTAATATTCCCTTCCAGATGGCATCTTTAAGCCCATCCCCGACAAGTTTCTGTCACTCTCTCAGGTGGCATCGTTAAGCCCATCTCCAAATGGCATCTCTAAGCCCATTCCCGCATCCAGTGCTTTGACGAATGCAAATTTCCGGGCACTCTAGTGTCCAATCTCCTTTTACCCTCGAGTCGCGAAAGGCAAGCCTGCCAATCTAACTCTTCGGACTCAAGAAGATTGAACAGGGGCAACTGTTGTACCCCAAAATTTGCCCTCCCATTTCTCATTGATCTCTCCTCACAAGGCTCTTGAAGCTCAAGACTCAGTTAGGGTTTCATCTGCTCAAGACCTCCCCTTGCACTGTGGACTCAAAATTAGGGTTTGTGTTTGCACAAAGTTGTTTTGAGCCAAAGTGCCCAATATGACTTTCATGCTTCATATTGGACTCCCAAGATTATCCATACCAAGTTTCAAGTCTTGATTCCAAGTTTTGCCCAGTCAATTGGACAGTTGACCTAGAAATCAACTGTATTGGGGAAAAAGTCAACTGTGGCCAATTGACAGTCAAATCTCATGAAATTTGATCCACATCAACATTATGAACTCATATGAACCATTTGATCAAGCTTGGATCACAATTCCACAAGAAATTTGATCAGATCACCAAAAGGGCAAAATGGTCATTTTTAGGGTTTTGACTGTACAAAGGCAATTTTTGACTGTTTGACCTAGCCAATGGCAAACTAAGCTCATATATGGACTCAAGGACCCCATGGAATTATCTTGACATGTTCATCAAACTCAAAAGATCCCAAGTACACAAGATTGACAGTTGAATTTCCCAGTCAATTGATCAATTTTGACTGTATACTGAAAAGTCAAACTTTGACTTTTTGGTCAAAATCAAGAGTCAAGATTCATTTTTCATCAAAATATGCCAAATCATGAAACTTGTTCACCAAGAAATCACAAATTGCAAATTAGGGTTTGAAAATGGAATTTTTCATAACTTAGAATTTTTCTAAGTTATGAAAAACCCTAATTTTTTCCCAACTTTGCCCCATCTTTTCACCATGATCCATTTTGATTCAAACAAAAGTCAAAACATGAAAGTTGTAGATTGTTGCATAATCTACAACTTTGATTCACAAAGTTTTCTCATTTGAAGCTTGTATCTCAAGTTATATTTTTTTGAATAAGGGCACTAAACCATTTTTAACTTAGTAGAATTTTAACCTATTTTGACAAGGTTTTCTACCCCACTTCAAGGCCATTTTTCATACCCTTCCACTTGGAATTTCAATTTGCATTTCAAAGATGGATTGTAGTACACATTCCAAGCTTTCCAAAATGTCCAAGAACTTCTCAAACAACTTCATGGTTAGGGAGAATCGAATTTCACAATATAGCAAAAACTCACTTGTGAATTGGCCATTTTTCATGTTCATAAGATTATGCAACTTCTCAAAACCAGCATGCCCTTGATTACAGGTCCCTAAACCAAGTTACACTCATAAATTTAATGCATATTCTTTGTACCAAGACCAAGTTCTTTGAGTTCAAGCTTTGTCTAAAGGATTAATCCCAATTTGGAAAAAGTAAACTATCCATTTTTGCAAAAGTTCACTTTATGTCAAATTAGAAATCCAACAAGTACAAGCTAAATCTGAATGGCACAAGATTATGGACAAATTGCTCTGATCAAGAGAAGATTATGCAGCCCATTAGGAGGCCCCCTACATGCCTAGAACATCAAGTGGCATTTTGTTGCTTAGAAAAGAAGAAAGGTCCATAACTTGTGACAACTTGAACCTCAGCTTACAAACACAACACAAAGGATATCAAACACACTCAGTACATCCCAACCAAGTTTTTGCACGAATCCTTGACCTTTCAAACACTCCCATTGCCATAATCATCCTCAAACTGCAAAAACAGGGTTGCCTCTGCAGTTTGAGTGCAAACTCCCATTTCCCTCGAGCATTCTCACCAAAATCAATTCATACACCTTCCATACAACATATGCAAACTAACCATGGCCTAAAACCTGACCTGTAATCACTCTAACAGTTTCCACCATTTTTAATTTTTCCTTTTGCAGTTGAAGTTCCACAGCTCGATACAAGGAGTTTCAAGACAAAGTAAGCATTGAAAAAGCATCCCTGGACCTCAAGGAAGCTTTTCCAATCATCACCTTGCACTGAAAGCTCCTCATTCTCCAGATAGAAGTCCAACTGAATAGGTAAAAGTTTGAATTCGCATCTCTCTTATCATGCATATTTAGTCTTAAGTTTGTGAAGAAACAAGGTCCTACTCATAGCCCTGAACATGTACATAGCTTTACTTTTCATTTCTTTTGTCTGAGTAGAGAGAATTTGAGTTCTGAAAATGGTAGAAAAGTTAGGTCAGAAAAGAGGGGGAGAGAAATTCTCCCTCATCTTAGAGAGATAGTTCATGTTCTTTATATGTATAAAATCGTCTCTTCATGCTTAACATTTTTTGTGTTGGGAGTTTGCTGAAAAAATCAAAGAATCAGGATTTCAAACACAAGCTTGCAGGCGCGCGTTTTGTGATTCAGAGGTTGAAGAAGAAGTGGTTTGGGCTGGGCCTGAGCATTTTTTCTTATTCACACCATCTTTTCTGTTTTGCACCCCCAAGCCCATTTGCTTTATTTTTAATGATTTTTGACATTTTCTTTTTTTATTTGATTCATTTATTTTTTCTCAGCATGTTAAAATTTTGAAAATATTTTTCTCATCATTTTTTGATTTTATTTGGTTTTTATTTAATTTTCTTTTTGATTTGTATATAAATAGATATATATTGTTATAAATAGAAAATATGTAAAAAATACTTCTATTTGCATTTTTATTTTTATTTACCTTCTGAAAATATTTCACATAAAAAATACTTTTTATTTATTTATTTATTTTATTAAAATATTAAGTAAATACTTATTTTGTATATAATACATATTTATAATATAAATATACATATATATATATATTATTATACTTAGAATAAAAATGCCAAAAAATGTATATATTTTATTTTAATATTTAATACAAAAAATGACCTTTGTTCAAATGTACCATATTTTATTTTATTCTTGTATGTAAATAATAAATATTATGTGGATTAATTAATTAATATACATTTTGATTAAAACTAGGGTTTTGCCCTAAATATGAAAATACTCAAAAATAATATCTTTTTATTTTCTTATTTTTATCTTTGCATAAATAATATTTTTTCATACATATAAAAACTTTCTTTTTGCATTTTGCATATTTATTTAGTTTCTATTTAATTGTGCAATTTACTTACCTTGCAAATATTCAAAAATGATGTAATAATTTAGATTTAAATTCTTGTCTAATATCCCCCATTTGTAAATTTGTACCCCCCTCCCTATATTATTATGTTGTAATAGTGTAGGAATTTAAATTTCGCACTTTATACGCTTTCTAATTATGCCATGTTAGAATTAGGGTTTGCATGCGAAAAAACGATAAAAAATAGTTTGACCTAATACAAGATAAATGAGCATGAAAATAAACAACACTTCTCACACTTACACCCCTAGGGTATTCCACTTTGTTGCCTTCAAATAAATTGGGCCATGTTGTATGTTGAATTTCTTTGGGCAAAGCAAATAATTTGAATGATCATAGTCCCTCGATAAAACTTTTCAAAACAAACAAAAACAAATGATCAAAGTCCCTTAAAGAGAATTGCCCAAAGATATTTAACGCCGTTGCAATTATGGTCCAAACGATGACCCGCGCCTGTCCCTTTTCATCTCCTAAGACAAGATTGTCCACCAAATGCAATGGTGGAACAAAATTGTCAAAAGGTTTAAAACATAATAAAAATCTTTGAGGAAATTTTTAGGGTAGATAAACTCTTAAGTACTTGCTAACTTTCCAAGAAAACACTTGCCTAATCTCAAAACCCACTTCACAAACACTTTCAAAACCAACTTTTCAAACCCTTGAAACATCTTTTTTAAAAGATAAAACACCTTTTGTAAAACATTCGAGTAAAGAATTGTTACAAGGTTAGCCTAATACAAGGCATCTTTTCAAAACATTTTCAAAACCACACACACAAAGCACCATTTCAAACAATTGAAAACCAAGGCAAGTTGATCTAAGCAAGTACCTAAGAGCCCATGGATAACCATGGATAGAAGGGGTGCTAATACCTTCCCCTTCTATAATCTACTCCCCGAACCCAAGAAAAATCTCAAAGGTTTTTGCTGTGCTTTTTAAACCTTTCCTTAGGATAAAATAAAAAGTCGGTGGCGACTCTTGCTCAACCGAAACATTTGCGAAAACAAACGCAAAACACAAGTCAGTTCTCCCACCGTATCACAAATGTCAACACATGTTCTTTGTAGGGGATAAGGTTAGGATGTTTGGTGTCCCATTCCCCTTTGATCTGACGGATGACCAAAGCTGAATCTCTGAATACATTTAAGGATTTGATCCCCTAATCGATGGCAGCTTTGAGACCAAAAATGCACGCTTCGTATTCTGCCATGTTATTTGTACAATTGAAGCCGAGTCTTACCGTAAAGGGAGTATGACATCCTTCAGGGGATATGAGTACAACACCTATACCATTGCCAAGTGCGTTGGACGCCCCATAAAAAACCAGGGTCCATCGGGATCCTTGTTCAGGTCCGTCACATGGTCTAAATTCTTCACAGTTGTTCACCATCATGATGTCTTCATCTGGGAATTCGAACTTCATGGACTAATAGTCATCCACAGCTTGATGAGCAAGGTGATCAGCTAGTGCAATGCCCTTTATTTCTTTGTAGGTAGTATACTATATGTCATATTCTGTCAGGATCATCTTCCATCTCTCTGTTCTCTTAGAGAGGGTAGGTTTCTCGAATATGTACTTTATTGGATCCATTTTAGATATCAATAAGGTAGTATGGGTCAGCATATACTGTCTTAGCCAGCGAGCAGCCCATGCCAGAGCGCAACAAGTTTTCTCGAGCAGTGAATATCTTATTTCACAGTTGGTAAACTTTTTGCTTAGGTAATAAATAACATACTCTTTTCAACCAGACTCGTCATGCTGCCCCATCACACACCCCATTGAATTTTCCAAAATAGTTAGATACATAATCAATGGTCTTCCCTCGACTGGTGGCATCAAAACTGGAGGCTCTTGTAGGTATTCTTTAATCTTGTCGAAGGCAGTTTGGCACTCATCATTCCATTTGACTACTTGATCTTTCTTCAGTAATTTGAAGATTGGTTCACAAGTAGCTGTCAGGTGAGAAATGAATCTGGCAATGTAGTTTAACCGTCCCAAAAATTCTCTGACTTCCTTCTCGGTACGAGGAGCAGGCATTTCTTGTATTGCTTTCACCTTGGCAGGATCTACTTCAATACCTTTACCGCTGACGACAAAGCCTAAGAGTTTACCGGACCTCACTCCAAACGTGTATTTATTTGGGTTCAACCTCAACTTGTATTTCTTTATCCTCTCAAACAATTTCTGCAAATGACCAAGATGCCCTTCTTCTGTTTGATATCTGGCTATCATGTCGTACACATAGACCTCTATTTCGTGATGTATCATGTAATGAAATAGAGCTACCATGGCACGCTGATAGGTTGCCCCAGCGTTCTTTATCCCGAATGGCATAACCTTGTAGCAGAATATGCCCCACTGTGTGACAAAAGTAATTTTCTCCATGTCCTCAGGCGCCATTTTGATTTGGTTGTAGCTTGAGAAACCGTCCATGAAGGAAAACACCTTATGCTGTGTTGTATTGTCAACTAGAATATCAATATGGGGAAGTGGGAAATCATCCTTAGGGCTTGTCCTATTCAAATCTTTGTAGTCCATGCACATTCGTACCTTGCCATCCTTTTTAGGCACATGAACAACATTGGAAACCCATTGTGGATAGGATGTGATAACCAAGAATCCGGCGTTGAATTGTTTCATGACTTCCACCTTGATCTTCTCTGACATGTCTAGTCGCATGCGACAAAGCTTTTGTTTTACCGGTGGGTAGTCTTCTTTTGTTGGTAGACCATGTACCACAATATCTGCATCTAGTCCTGGCATGTCTTTGTATGACCAGGCAAAGACCTCAACATAATCATATAGCAACTGAATCAGACGCTCTTTGACACTGGGTTCCAGATTGGCACCCACTTTGACTTCTCTCTTGTCTTCTTCGGTTCTTAGGTTAATTGTGTCCACTGGTTCTTCGTGGGGCTGTATGGTCCTCTCTACTTGTTGTAGTAACCTGGAGAGTTCCCCTGGTACTTCACAATCTTCCTAACCTTCGTCTTCGGCTTGGTAGATTAGATTTTCAGAGTCACAAAAGGCCATAGTAGAATTGTTACCCATGGGATCCCGAATGGATGTAGATCTGCATTTTGAATGTGAGTGTGTGTAAGAGTATAGATATCTTTGAAATAAATGAAAATGTAAAAAGAAAAACAATGAGCACAAAGGTTGTATGCAAAAACGTCCATGATTCATTGATGTCATATGGAAATGAGATAATAACCCTTACAAATGGACCATTGCGCCTCGGGTAAGACACAAGGTTTTAAGAGTCTGAATTGTTTAATATTAGAGGTCCGACAAAATTTAAAGACAAATTAATGTTGGATAAAAGTGATCGGGACAAAATATCTAGCTTCCCAGTTGCTGAGCCCTCCATTGACAGTTGGGAAAATCCAATCCTCCAGGTCATAGTTGTCTTTATCATCCTCCATGGCGTTGACTTCGTGGTTGCTGATCTTCAAGGGTGGTCCTCCGCCACGAGCATGACACACAGCTTTCTGGGCTCCTGAAGTGAAACCCAAACCAAATTTGTCAGATTTGTATGGGATATTTTGGAGTTGGCCCTAAATAGTGCACCCATCTTCTTCTATCACTGCCTTGGCGTCTTTCAAAGATGACATCTTGAGCGGAGGCCTTGTAATCTTTGGGACTTTAGAAACAACCTTGGTTACTGCCGCAGTTTGCGGGACTTCTTCAAATTTCTGGAATGGAGTTTCAATAAATTCACCATCTAATTCCACATATCTGAAAGAATTTAGATAACTGACCATATACTCTTCTTCTCCATGAACAGTGATGATTTTCCCCTGAATTGGATATTTCAGCATTTGATGCAACATAGAGGTAACGACACCAGCATTATGGATCCACGGTCGGCCTAATAAGTAGGAATATGAAGGGCGAATATCCATTACATAAAAATTTGAATCAAATGTTTGGGTTCCAACTTTTATGGGGATGTCTACTTCCCCATGCACCATCCTTTTTGAGCCGTCGAAAGCCCTCACTACTATGTTACTAGGTTTCAAGGTCAATCCTTCATAGTCAAGCCTATCAAGAGCCTTTTTAGGTAACACATTCAGAGATGATCCGGTGTTAACCAAAACATGAGCCGAAGTCGTGTCCCTGCATTCGACTGAGACATGCAATGCCTCGTTATGCTTCCTCCCCCTTGGCGTTAAATCAACATCCGAAAAACCTAAACCATTATCTGCGGTCAAGCTGGCTACGTAGTCTTGGAACTGATCGACAGATGTTTCTTGGGGTACATGAGCAACTTTAAGGAATTTTACCAAGGCCTTTGCATGAGCCTCAAAATATAACAATAAAGCCAGCATGGAAATTTTTGATGGAGTTTTCCCCGGTTGTTCGACTATGTTGTAGTCGCTTCTTTTTATAATCTTTAGAATTTCCTCCATCTCTTTTCGGGAGGTATCAGGGATAGCTATTTATTGTGCCTTCATCCGGACAAGCTCAACCATAATACCTTTGCCTCGAGTCTCGATTGACTCGGCAGTAGAAATGTCAGTGATAACATGGGCTATAACAGTTTTGTCAGTAGGAGTATTAGCAGAGATGATTGCAGGACTAGGAATAGCTTTTGGAGGAGCAACAACAACATGAATGATTACAGGTCCAAAAATAGCTTTTGGAGGAGAAATTTTTGGAGAAAATACCCTTCCACTTCGGGTTACCTTGCTAGTCCCTACGATGTTACTGATATCAGAGTCATCTTTCTTAGAACTTGAATGTTCAGCAGCTGGCCAATCTTGCTTTATACCGTGATAGTAGACATCACCTCCATAATTCCATGGGACGGTTTTGTCTGACGAATACGGGATTGGTCCAGGCCTTGTAATTATCAACGGAGCTACTTTAGGAACTAATGTAATTCTAATGGGTCTTTTGGTGGAGACCCTGGAAGAATTGACGGAAATGGTCACTATGGAAACATCATTATAAGAAACAGTTGGAATGGAAGTCTTCTCGAACAAAATCTCCTTGTCATCTATTAGGCATTCAATGCTTGCTTTTAACAAAGGACAACTGGTTGGTGAGGATAAACAGAAATGACAGCTTTTATCACAGCCTGGGAATACACCGGCATTCAACAAGTTCTTTTTGGTAGTCAGGAGTGGGGTCACAAGTTCATCAACCAAAGTAACAAACATATCTTCCTCAACGGTATTGACATCACGACCGTGCTTGGCCATAGGGGCAGTGATAACATTGGGCATTTCTAGCGCGTCGAATTCAATCTCTTTGGCTTCAAGAAGATCTTGTACCTTATTTTTCAGAGCCCAACAATTGTTAGTGTCATGGACAAGACTCTCAGAATGGTATGCACAGTGGGCATTAGGATGATAGTGAGGAGAGGTTGTGTTAGGATTCTTTGGAGCTTCTTTCAAAGTCACTAGATTGGATCTTAACAAATGTGGCAATACTTGAGATAGTGTCATATTAATTCGGGTGAACTGTCTGACTGATCTTTCTGTTCTTGGCTGGTTGCTTATTTTCTGAACAGGTGCAGGTTTAGGAATCATGACAACCCCCACCATTGGACGGTGTTCAGTCTTATCTTGATTTCTCTGAGGATATACAACAACAACTTCTTTTTTTCCAATGAATGGTTTTCTTACAGCAGCAGAGGATGTATCTTTTTGAATCTTCCCATTCTTTATCCCGGCTTCCACTCTTTCTCCGGTCAATATCAATTCGGTAAAACCTGCCGAGGAGCTCCCAATTAAGTGATTGAAGAAAGGACCGGACAAGGTGCCCAAAAACATGTCTACTAATTCTCTTTCAGATAGGGGAGGCTGGACTCTTCCTACTAAGTCCCTCCATTTTTGCGCGCAGTCTTTGAAGCCTTCACTTGAAACCATGGCCATACTCTGGAGTTGAGTACAGGTGGGAGCAAGGTCTGCATTATATTGGTATTGTTTGTAAAAGGCAGCAGCAAGATCTTCCCAATTATGAACATTGGCTCTTTCTAGCTGATAAAACCAATCAAGTTGAGTTCTGGCCAGGCTGTCTTGAAAGAAGTGTACCCATAAATCCTTGTCAGCAGTGTGAGGCTGTATTTTCCTCACATAGGACCGGAGATGCATTTTGGGACATGAAACTCCTTCGTATTTGGCGAACATCGGTGCCTTGAATTTTGGAGGAATGACAATCCCAGATACTAACCCCAACTCCTCAAAGTCCAGTCCAGGAACCTTTTGAATTTCCATTGCACTTAACCGTTCTTCCAGATGCTTATACTTGTCGTCAGCTGAAGGATATTGTTCTTCAAAATGATCTTCTTCTTCCTCTTCCTCTTCTGAATCTGGCTGGACAACTTCTTCCTTGCCTTTCCCATCTTGATTGTCTTTCTCACCAGATGACGTTGCAAAGTCTAG